TCTCCTAATGTGTGCAAATTTAGACACCGTGTTAATAAAACTAAACACTTCCTATTAACTTTTGCATGCCAAATTTGTCGCATAGAGCAAAATTGCACATAAAATGTACTTAATTTTTATTTTTAGTAGGGAATGTATCTTTGCGTTAAAAACGTTTGCAGTTTTAAACATTTCATGTGTATATTTAAAACATCTCATGTTCAAAAATCCTGTCTTGAACATCTTATGCGTATACTTACACAGATTTTGTTTGAAAATAAACACTTTTCAGTAGCAGGTTTACATGCAGTTTTTAAAGTGTATAAATAAATTGCGGAACGAACACTGAAGCAGCGCTGGCGGTAAAAAAAAACGGCACTGTCTCGGACGGTCTGAACAACTCTATTTGGGACTGTGGCAACGATATTATATTTTTCGCTCACACTGATAGGTACGGCATTGATATGTTTAGTTAGACCTTTATTGTAAAAATCACCTATATAATTGATTTGAGGTCGATAAATAAACGCCGATCTAATTCCGATTGCAGGCATCGTTTATATTCGCGCCGCCGCTACTATTCCCCGATTACGGGCCATTGCCCTTGCGGCTCTCGTTTGTCTTGACAAATTTCTTTTAGCTTTAGGCATTTTTAAACGCTTCGCACTATTCGGTCATATTAAAGATTTTTTTGTATATTTAGTATCGAACTTCCACTTTGTAAATGCATCCCTGATTCGCTGTTGTTTGTGCATGCCACTACTGCGTTGGAAAATAGGAATTCGGCTAGACAGAGGAAGGTGTCCCATAAAAAACAGGGCTTAATTACTTTACCATATCAATTCTAATTTGAACATACTTATGTACATATGTATGTATGCATGTATTAAAATCTAATTGGATTGATTGAGTGATGATCTGTTGAACTAAAATGGTTGAGTTTTGTTTTGTGCAGAATTTGCATGAAGCGAAACAGACATTTCTTTGTGTTATTTATTCTGCATGCTACTACAGCGATGTAAAATTAAGTTTCTGCCGCGCAGCGCCAACTTTTTTCACGAACTTTATCTTTATGAAATAAAGGAAAAGCTGAAGATCAATGTATGTACATATGTATGCCACACCAAGACGCTTACGGTGAGCATGTGCCGATATCGCAGCAAGCAGCATTTTGAAGTAAAAAAAAACAAAAACAGCTTCCAAACGAAATACACGATGTACAGTTTTTATTTGTTTTGAACGCAGCACTGCTTGTAGATACATAAATTTCGCTTTGGGCGCAGCGCTGCTTCTACATTAATTTCGCTTTGCGCATGCGTGAAGCTGGCAAAGGTTCTTTTTTACCTTTCTTTTATTAGCTCGGGATGTAGCTATGTAATATTGATGCGCCTGAAAGATGCAGCGATTTATATTCTCAAGTTACATACCTGATGACAGTGCGAATGGCAATTATAACAGGGAGGTTTTAGTTTTTTAAACTATAATTTTATTAATTTTGCGCTATGCTAGCTGAGTATAAAAAGAGAAGAAAATAGAGAGAAATAGAGAGAAATATATATGTGGTTTGTTGATGCTCTCTAAACACAAACGCGTGAAAGGCAAACGGTCTAGCAATGCGTGGTATTGTTGATCAACTTAATACTTTAATTAAACATACTTATTATTAAAATTTCGTTATACAGTATCCTACTGTGGTAGAAATATGTCATTTTAAAACTTGAGTCATAGAAATCGACCCAAAACATCGGCTGTTTTGCTCTCACGTTTTTTTGGGTTTTAATTTTATATATAGTATAGATTGCTCTCACCCTCTTCGCTGAGTGTATGAAAGATACCTTCCCAATGCAAAGAGAGTATTTTAATAATTTGGAAGTTATACACTCCATTGCCGAGATAAAAATTGAATGGCCTTACATTTTTGAAACCGATTGACTTATGCCAGCATTTTGAAGAGTTGATGGGCTTAAAGTCTGACACGTTTGCTGAAAATTTTTTAAACACAAAAGAAAAAATTTTTCTATTTTTCAAAAAATTTATTAAAAATCCGGTGGTCGATGATTCCAGTGAACGGTCAATACTCACCGGAATTGCAAAATATTTCAACGAGGACTTAGGTTTTTTGCTTTTGGATTTTGAGGTAAGGTCTCTTTCTTCACAAAAGATTGTTATGACGCAATTGACGGGCATGTATTGTTTTAATTTTCAGTTCGGATTAAAAGTGAATAGCATTGTCGCCAGGGTTCCAACAAACACACCGTTCAGTGCGTTTGTCGGTAAGTATCTTAACATATTTATTAAAAAAAGCGTATATCATTCAATCCTTTATATTTGCAGAGGATGATGCAACAGGTGGAAAAGTTGTGGCCTACATTTTAATTGAAAAAACCATAGTTAGTAAAACAGAAAATTGTAATCTCTTGCTTAACTTACAACTAGTGATAAATTTCTTTTTTGTATTAAACATAATCTATCCACGCGAAATATCGCAAACTTTAGAATTTTTAGTAGGCTTCTTTTATAAGCATTATCCCATCTATACACGTGGTAAAAAGAAAAATATTAACAGTTTGCAAAAAGTTAATAGTTTCATAAGCAAAATTACAGCTTTTGAACAATAAAAGAACCGTACTAAATATTTTATTTATTAACTCACCGTTGTATCATAGTTTTTCTTACAAACTTTTGTCTGAACGTGTCTTTTAATAGTGCTACATATTTGCTTAATCAAAACAAACTTGCACATACATACACCGTGACTCAAACAAGTGTTCACATGTTGATATTTTTTAATATTCACAATGTTTTTCAAGTGAACAGTTTTTGGTTATTATTATTTTTTTATATTATTCAGGCTTTAACTAAAACCATATAAATCAATATTTCACACTTTATATAAAATTCAACATATTTTTTTTTAATTTTAAGCGGCTAAATATCTTAATAAGTTTTATTGCTGACTTTGATTTTTTGAAATTTTGTTTACGAACGGTCTTGCGCATTATATTCCATAACTAATTCATGTTTATACGTATGGATAAAAGTGGAAAAATCCATCAGCAAAAAAAAATATTAAAAATAATCGTAATTTTTTAGACGCTTAAAATTTGCCCTTTATTATATTAAAAGTTGATGAGCTATAGAACTGCTTATCCAAAAATGTTCTAGCTATTAAGATTAAAAAGTTCGAAACTTTGATGAAAACGTTTTGCATTTCGTATAAAGCTTGATACTTTGACTTATATACAAACATACACCCCGTGTCATGGTTATTAGCGCACTACATATTCATAAGNTTTATATTATTCAGGCTTTAACTAAAACCATATAAATCAATATTTCACACTTTATATAAAATTCAACATATTTTTTTTTAATTTTAAGCGGCTAAATATCTTAATAAGTTTTATTGCTGACTTTGATTTTTTGAAATTTTGTTTACGAACGGTCTTGCGCATTATATTCCATAACTAATTCATGTTTATACGTATGGATAAAAGTGGAAAAATCCATCAGCAAAAAAAAAATATTAAAAATAATCGTAATTTTTTAGACGCTTAAAATTTGCCCTTTATTATATTAAAAGTTGATGAGCTATAGAACTGCTTATCCAAAAATGTTCTAGCTATTAAGATTAAAAAGTTCGAAACTTTGATGAAAACGTTTTGCATTTCGTATAAAGCTTGATACTTTGACTTATATACAAACATACACCCCGTGTCATGGTTATTAGCGCACTACATATTCATAAGTTTGAACCATTTATATTTTTGTTATTTAATTTTAGTTATTTTTTTAATAAAAATATAGTTTATTTTTTAACAAAAGCCGTATAAATCCAGGTTTCTTACCTAATACTGTATTTAAAATAATTCAACTTAAAAATTGAAAGCCTTTAATTAGATTTTTAGAAAAATGCAGCCCATTAAATTTTATTACGTGTGCCAGTGCAAGTTTTAAGCGGCTGGGGCTTTCCGTTGATTTTTGGCTATTATTTTGGTTGAAGATGCCGCTCATTTTGTTCCACATAAAAAAAACTCGCACCTACTTTGCATGGAATTCACCACACTGCCAGCAAAAAAATTACCAAAATTCAACAGTAAGCCCTAGCCACTTCAACATGCACTTTATTATATTAAAACTGAAAGGGCTGTAAAGCTACATACTCAACATTTTTCTAAAAAATCTAATTAAAGGGTCGAATTTTTTAAGAAAGTATGTTGATTTTTTTTAAATATTGCATTAGGTTAGAAACATGGATTTATACGATTTTTATTGAAGAATAAATTTTATCTTTATAAAAACAACTTGTAGTATACGTATATAAATAAACATGTTAAACCCCAAAATAGCGATATTAAACATAAGCGCAAATATGTATTATTTTGTATTTTTATATATTAACAAGTAAATGTATCTGGCCACACTGTTCAAATTGTAGTCCACAGCTTACCGTCCACTATGTAACTTGAATATCCACAGCTTTTCAATTCATGTTCCACATTAGCTGATCTTTCGCCTATAAAAAGCGTGCTCCTCTGGGCGTTCGTCTCATTTGGCTGAAGGCGTCCGCTCAAGAGGTAAGCTTAAATAAGTAGTAGTAGGTCTTATTGCTATTTGGAAGATGAACAGCGCAAAGCTGGTCTCTTTCAATAGTAGTAGTCTGTATGTATATTGTAGTTTTTATCACAACTACTTAGATGAACAGCGCAAGCTGGTCTCTAGTATTTGTAACCCAGTACTATACGAGTTGAGATGAACAGAGTAAATCTGGTCTCTCACTGTTAAATGATACCACTGCTGTACTCTTAACTTTGCCATATTTTTTAAGGTTTTTACCCTGTACTCGCACTTACGCTATAAATACACCACCTTTCACTAAAACCTTCGGTTCTTTTTATTTATAATTGGCGCCCAACATCGTGGCAAACCTTTTGAGTAATACGCCAAATTCGATTCGCCGAAGCGAACGCATTAAATCCAAACCAATGACTACGTTCACAAACGAACAATTTGAGAGGCTGATGCAAGCGGTGGGTCAAGTAAATGAAAGGCCTGGCTCGTTTAGCCGCTGCACTGCTCGTTATACTGGTGAGCGCAGCTCCGCGAAAGTTGAGGAGTTTATTGCTGCTATTATGACTTTTAAAACAGTCGAAAAAATAAGCGATGCCGACGCAATAAGCGGTATGCCAATGGTACTCGAGGGCGACGCAGCAGAATGGTGGCGTGGCGTGAAGTCAAAAGCCAATGCTTTTTCTGACGTAATACGCATGCTGCGTGAAGCGTTTTCCCCTCCGAAACCATCTTGGCGTATTTATGTTGAGATATTCGAATCAAAACAGCAGAAAAATGAGGCAACTGATACCTTTATCCGTAGGAAACGCTATTTTCCCAACTGACTAATGAGCCAGCTGAAGCTGACCAAATTGATCTTTTGTTTGGGTTGTTACACATCCAAATTCGTGACAAGGTAAGCCGACAGAGAGTTCAAGGTTTTGATGACTTGCTAAAGGAAGCTAGAGAAGCTGAATTATACCTGCAAGAACGCAAAACGCATGCTGTGAACACGGATGATACTCAAAAATCGAGTGGTCCAGCGCGTTGCGGATTTTGCCGCAAAAAGGGACATAGTTCCGAAATGTGTTTCAAAAAGAAAAACAGTGAAGCCCAGGAAGCGCATGCCGCAAAGCTAGCGCAAGCACAATCCCTAAGGCCTAAATTCGCTTGCTATGGTTGCAATGCGCTGGGGGTAACTCGCGCGAACTGCCCCAATTGCATTAAAACAGAGGTAGCGAAACCAAACACAGTGAGCTTCAATTCATTAAATGCTACAAATGGTCAAGAAATCCCAAGTTTCAACTCTTTGAATTCATTGAGTGCTACCATTGGTCGAGAAATACCAATTGCTAATATACAAATATTTGGAGTACCGGGTCAAGCATACTTTGACTCAGGAACGCGAACAAGTGTTGCTAGTGCTAACCTAAAACGCATAATGGATTTTAAAGGCTATGTGTTCAAGAGCGTTAGATGTGAGATAACTCTGGCCGATGGCAGTACCTCCCTCGAAAGGTGCTTGTCAACAGTATGTAAGATAACCATAGATGGACGCACTCTGGACATACATTTCATTGTTTTGCCAAATGCGAAAAATAATAGAACCTTGGTTGGCGCAGATTTCATGGAACAGGCAGGGATTGTTTTGAATATGGGTCAGCGTTATTGGTATTTCGAAAATGAGCCAACAGAGCACTTTGATTTTGCCGATCCGCTACCGCTTGAATTAAATCTCGTTGAGAGAGTGAAAGTAAGCGACCCTATTAGCAAACGAAAGCAAGAAGATGAATGGGTAAAGGAGGCAGTGCAAGCGAAAGTTTATATGTCCGAATTTGAATATTATGGAGCAGAAGTTCCGAATACCTATTCGCCGCATTCGATTCAGGACATTTTTAGGGATTCTATTCCACCAAACGAGATTACACCCGAAAGAAGTTATGGTGCTGGATTATTTAATGGTGCCATCAACAAACAACGCTCAACAGATTTGCTTACTATCGACTTCCGGTTCCTTAAGAAACTGATGGGGCCGAGTTAACAGAAACTCAGAAAGCACAACTTAATGAAACATTACAAGCACATCCTAGCATTTTTGGTGCATCACATGAGCCTACTCCCTATGCTCAACATTTTATAGACACTGGTAACCATGAACCCGTTGCACTTCCACCATATCGGCTATCCTTCCCAAAGCTTCAAGAGTTGAAGAGCGAAATACATAAAATGACTGAGAACGATATTATCGAAGAATGTGATTCAGCGTGGTCATCACCGGTTGTTATGGTACCAAAAAGGGATGGAAGCACACGCGTCTGTGTAGATTACCGGAGGTTGAACGCAATAACGAAGCCCGACAGGTATCCACTACCCCGTATGGACGACTTGTTACATGCCGCTAAAAGTACCAAGTTCATGACAACTCTGGATTTACAATGTGGGTATTTTCAAATCGCTGTTGCGGAAAAAGACCGCGATAAGACATGTCTCATTACGCCGTTTGGTACCTACCGCTTCAAGCGTATGCCTTTCGGCCTTCGGAACGCTCCGGAAACATTTCAACGCTTGATTGACCGTTTTAAGACAGCGTTACCAAATATTCAAATCCTTGCGTATCTTGACGATAATATTATTTGCTCACATTCATTTCTAAATCATTTAAAAGACCTGCACATAGTATTTGAGAAGCTTGAAAAGTTCAAACTGGNTCAACGCTTGATTGACCGTTTTAAGACAGCGTTACCAAATGTTCAAATCCTTGCGTATCTTGACGATATTATTATTTGCTCACCTTCATTTCTAAATCATTTAAAAGACCTGCACATAGTATTTGAGAAGCTTGAAAAGTTCAAACTGCGCGTTAACAATGCTAAATGCCGTTTTTGCTGCGCCAGTGTGAAGTACCTTGGACATGTTCTCACAGCCGAGGGTATCAAAGTTGACCCAGAGAAAACGATGACAATTGCAGAACGAAGGGCGCCCCGAAACATTAAAGAACTGGTGTCTTTTATTCAAACTTGCTCGTGGTACCGGCGATTTATTGATCAGTACGCGAAAATTGCCAAGCCGGTTACAGACCTCACCAAGAAAAATGCTGTTTGGCAATGGCGCGAACCGCAGATTGAAGCATTCAATAAACTAAAAGAAATGCTGGTGAATCCACCAATCCTGAAGCAAGCCGAAGATAACGTATCCTTTATGATTAAAACTGATGCAAGCGCGTATGCACTAGGAGCAGTACTGCTGCAGGGGGAGAGAGACCAGGAGCATCCTATTGAGTATGCAAGCCGTTTGTTGACTCCAGCTGAGCGTAACTACTCAACGACGTAACGGGAAGCACTTGCCATAGTATGGGCATGCGCCAAGTTTAGAGGGTACATCGAAGGCGCTGAAGTGCATCTAGTGACGGATAACCAACCACTTAAATGGTTGCTAACCATGAAATCACCGTCTGGTCGTTTAGCAAGATGGGCGCNGAGCGTAACTACTCAACGACGGAACGGGAAGCACTTGCCATAGTATGGGCATGCACCAAGTTTAGAGGGTACATCGAAGGCGCTGAAGTGCATCTAGTGACGGATCACCAACCACTTAAATGGTTGCTAACCATGAAATCACCGTCTGGTCGTCTAGCAAGATGGGCGCTTCAAATCCAACAGTACAATTTTAAAATTGACTATACGCCTGGGAAGAGTAACTCGGTAGCTGATATGCTTTCACGACCATCATGTCCCGAAAACAGCCATAGCACTCCGAACTGTATTTCTACGTTTCAAGTGGACTTACCACGGAAGAAGCCAAGCGAGTTGAGAAATGAGCAACTTAAAGACGAATATATGAAGAAAATAATAAACTCTATAGAAGAGAACGATGAAAACGTCACTTTATGGTATAATCGTGGGTATCTCTTAAATGATGGTGTACTATACTGCTACGCTAACGATGGTGCTGAAGACGCACAATTGGTAATTCCTCATCATGAACGCGCACAAGTTTTGAAAACATACCATGACGAAAGCACCGCAGGTCATTACGGAGCGGAGAAGACAATCGCACGAATCGCAAGCCGATACTTCTGGCCAGGGATGCGCACCGAAATCACCAAGTACGTACGAAACTGCATCGAGTGTCAACGCTACAAAGCATCAAACATGAAGCCGATGGGCTTATTACAAACCACTTCAAGTAAGCACCGCTTCGAGGTAGTCGCTGTAGATCTTTTTGGTCCACTTCCCAAGACTGATGAAGGGTACCAATGGATACTCATAGCGGAAGATGTTGCTAGTCGATGGGTTGAAATATTTCCCTTGAAAGAAGCAACTGCTGAAATGTGTGCTAAAACGTTAATAAACGAGTTGTTTTTCCGATTTGGGGTGCCCAGGCGGCTTAAATCTGGCAATGGCGTTCAATTTGTATCGTCTGTCATGCAACAAATTGCATACTGTATGGGCATTAATCAGGTTTTTACTCCCGTATACCACCCTGAATCGAATCCAGTAGAGCGCAAAAACAGAGACCTTAAAGCTCAGTTAGCTATTCTAGTTCAAAATCAGCATAATATTTGGGATATTGGTATACCCGCTATTCGCTTTGCAATGAATTCTGCTAAATGTCAATCGACAGGCTACTCAGCAGCATATCTCACTTTCGGACGAGAGCTACGCACTTTTGACGATATAGAGCATGATGTTCGAGCCATTATCGAAAGTGATAACTTCATCCCTCAAATTACACCATATCTGAAGAACATGGTAGAAGGTTTTAAGAATGCGAGAGAGGCAGAACAATTGATGCAAGACCGTAATAAAGCTTACGCCGACAAACACCGAAGACCTCAAGACGATATAGCAGTAGGAGCCGAGGTTTTAGTGACAACGCATGTACTCAGCCAAGCTTCGAAAGGTGTTACAGCCAAGTTTGTGTCGAAAAGAGATGGTCCANGACAAACACCGAAGACCTCAAGACGATATAGCAGTAGGAGCCGAGGTTTTAGTGACAACGCATGTACTCAGCCAAGCTTCGAAAGGTGTTACAGCCAAGTTTGTGCCGAAAAGAGATGGTCCGTATCTAGTCATTCGCAAGAGAGGTGCATCAACTTATGAAGTCGCGTCCAAAGCTGAACCTGACGTGCCACTTGGAGCTTACCACGCCTCCGCTCTGACCCTATATAGAGGTAGCAATACTGAAGAACATCCGAATCCTGTGCAACCAATTCGTAAGAGGGGGAGACCACGGAAGACATAATAACTGGTTGTCGCCTGACTCGTGCTTACACTCATCATTCGTCAAGGGGGAGACTGTAGTATACGTATATAAATAAACATGTTAAACCCCAAAATAGCGATATTAAACATAAGCGCAAATATGTATTATTTTGTATTTTTATATATTAACAAGTAAATGTATCTGGCCACACTGTTTAAATTGTAGTCCACAGCTTACCGTCCACTATGTAACTTGAATATCCACAACTTTTCAATTCATGTTCCACATTAGCTGATCTTTCGCCTATAAAAAAAGCGTGCTCCTCTGGGCGTTCGTCTCATTTGGCTGAAGGCGTCCGCTCAAGAGGTAAGCTTAAATAAGTAGTAGTAGGTCTTATTGCTATTTGGAAGATGAACAGCGCAAAGCTGGTCTCTTTCAATAGTAGTAGTCTGTATGTATATTGTAGTTTTTATCACAACTACTTAGATGAACAGCGCAAGCTGGTCTCTAGTATTTGTAACCCAGTGCTATACTAGTTGAGATGAACAGAGTAAATCTGGTCTCTCACTGTTAAATGATACCAATGCTGTACTCTTAACTTTGCCATATTTTTTAAGGTTTTTACCCTGTACCCGCACTTACGCTATAAATACACCACCTATCACTAAAACCTTCGGTTCTTTTTATTTATAACTATCATTTTCTTCCTCTCTATCTTTTGTTTATTTGCATCTTCATCTTCATCTTCATCTTCATCTTCATCTTCATCTTCATCTTCATCTTCATTTTCATCTTCATATTCATATTCATCTTCATCTTCATCTTCATCTTCATCTTCATCTTCATCTTCATCTTCATCTTCATATTCATCTTCATCTTCATC